TTAATATAAATCCTCTAGAGATTGCAAAAAGAAAACACAGGTGATTTCTGGATCATTTTTAGCACTCAGAAAGAATTTGAGATATTTTTTCACAGTGCTATGGGAACTGGTTGGTAAGAAGCATCAACCCCAGGAAATATGTATTGTTTGCAGTGGAATAAATGGTAACTGTTTGTTAGGTTACCCATGGTTTAAAAACGCAATGGAATGACCTGTTGCTCAAATTTATTGTCATGTTAAAAACTTTAATTTTCCATAACCCCACTAAGTCCTGCCTGATCAGATGTCTCTTGGAAACCCCTTGGAATTTTTCAAGACTTTCCAATTGCTGGGGCTGGTCCCAAAGTCTGGCAGAGGGTGAAGTGGAGGGTGTGATTATCCACCCAGGGTCCTCATGGTGTCCCTGCAGTGGCAGTCACTTTGGCCCTGCTCATCTGTGGAAGATGGGGAGGATGTCCAGTGCACGTTAGCTGGCCTGCCCCAGCCTGGCAGAGAGGCGGCTCAAGGGGGAAGTCTCCTCTCAGGCTACCCTCAGCCCAGGGGCCTTGCCGGGTGGCATCGATTGGGATCACCCTGGCATACCCCGCCATTGGGCTGGGGAGACTGGGAAGGCAAGGCTGGCCAGCCTCAGCTACCTGCTTTGCAGACATCGTGACAACAATGGACCAATCTGCACTTTTCTTTGGATGGGTGATGGCTGCGTGTTCTGAGCAGCCCTTTCTAGGACAGGTCAGGAAAACAAACACAGGAACTTGGTGAAGGGCGATGGGGAGGACTTTGCACCTTTCGCTCTGCACACCAAGAGGTAATGGGGACAGTAGCTTTTGTAAAGCGGCAAAGAAAGGCTTTCTGGGCCTCTGCAGCCTCCGTCCCAACCCCAGGAATAGTCTCGTTGTGACGCTTCTTCCTCACACAAAGAAATCCTGCTCCTCCATTATTTGCAGCCTTGCCTGCACAGTAAAGAGAGCAGCGCCCCAGCCAGGGCAGCACTCCCAGATTGAGTGTTCAGTGGACTGGGAATACAGCTCAGTAGTAGAGTACTTGCCAGTAGTGCATAAGACCCTTACTCAATGCCCAGTCTCCTCTCTCTCCTCCTCCTCCTTCTCTCTTTCTCTCTCTCTCTCTCTCTCTCTCTCTCTCTCTCTCTCTCTCTCTCTCTCTCTCTCTCTCTCTCTCTCTCTCTCTCTCTCTCTCTCTCTCTCTCTCTCTCTCTCTCACACACACACACAGTGTTAAGTGTTGTCCAAGTGGGGATCCAGTCATTTCAACACAGACTAACAAAACTGATTAACTTGCATAATGAAGTCTCCATCCCTTGCACTAATGACATGTACATTGTGATGAACTAGACCTTACATCTATTTTGCAAACCCGAGAACTGTCCTCTGTCACAAGAATAATATTTGTATAGCACCAAGTCACATCTGTAAGCCATTGTGTACCCGGAAGATGGAGTATTCTAAGGAAATGTGACTCATGAGACCCCCTGCTGACATCGAGCCCTTCCTGTCCTTATCAAATCCAAAGACTCCTCTGCAGTTTTCTGAAAAGAAATCCAGCTCCTTTTCTCCCTCAAGGTTCTATCTATCACCTCTAGTGAAATAACTCCCAGAGCCACAACCTCGCTCTGACCTCCTTGCAGAGCTTCGTGACTCATGTCCCTTACTGCCAGACATCTGCACCTCCTTTTCCCTCTGATACCTCAAACTTGCTTCTGAAATGAAATTCACTTTATGGCCTCTTAAGCCGGTCCCACTGGTCTTTCTTTTTTATGGTCCCATAAGCCGGTCCCTCTGGACATTTTTTGGTCAAGGGTATCACTCTTGCGTCTGATAACTGACCTGGGAGTGATACATCATGTGTGTTATTGTGTGCATCCAGCAAGCATCCACTGAGAACCTACTGTGTGGACAGCACTCTGTGTACAAAGTGGAGAGGTCACAAACCAGGATCATGCACGGAGATAACTCAGGTTCAGGAAAGGGAGACGGATTCCCTGTGTCAGATGGGAAGGAGAGACAGAGCCAGGATGGAAAGAGCATGGCCAGTTTTGCAGGATTTCCCACCTGCAGAAGATACACCTGCCCCAGGATTCCTGTGTCCTGGAGGCAAACACTATTGGACACTCACACAGCTTGACCCTGCCCTGATCTCTGCTCTCACTCAGCCCCTGGCTTCCAGCATCACATGGATGTCTTCCCAGCAGAAAGGCCAAAGGACTACTGTTGCATTTCAGCATGGTGACGGCTGTCTCATACTGGGCACTTTCACTGATCATCTCTGGCTGATAATAAAACAGGCACCAACTAGAATTCTCAGTTGCAAACGACAAACAGCAGCTTGTGATGTTTTCACAGAAAGGAATTAATCTTAAAAAAAAATAGGGAAACTCACAGGATTGGTAAAGCCAACAGAGCGCTGGAGACTACAGCTGAACTCACTGTCACAGTCAGGGCTGTCCTGGAGATGCCGGTTGCTCCTTGCTGGAAATGCCATGGTGCTTCTGCAACCACGCAGGCCCCAGACCGCAGGTCCTGCTGCTGCAGGCAGCTGCCTTGTACTATCTATGGCCGTGCAGGTGCATCTAACCTCCCCTGCCACCTGTCAGAGCATGGCTGGTTGGGGACACGTCTTTCGATTGGTTGATCCTCGGCTACATCTCCCCTCTTCGACTGGAAAAATAAATTCCTGTCTATCACCAAGGGGAGAATGTAGGAAACGAGGAGTTCAAGTTTGGGGTAGCCACAAGCCACACAGCTGCCCCGCCCACTTCCTTTGAGCCTTCTCTTCTTGGACAGCTGCTTTCTATTCCTCCTAACTCTGAGGTTTGGGCCTCCAACTCCCTTACCACTTAGTCATTAATCTCTGGTTCCCAGAATTGGAAATAATCTCTCAAATGAGGTCTGACAAGTCTGAGGTATGATGGGATTCTTTCATTCCGTATCACAGCCTGTTAACTTACATTCAAGTGTCTGAGGCCTTCAGGGCTCCCTCAGCTGCCAATGCTGTATGGATGACACATGTTGGCTCGCAGTATTCTTGTGGTTGACTGAATTCCCAGATATTTTTATGTGAATGGCTGCAAAGCCAGCTCTTCCATCATTTACTTACAGATTTGGCTTATTGAGCATGTGCAAATTTAGCTGAGTAACCTAAAACTGTATTCGTCATACTTCAGCTATTTAGGCCACACCCTTGAATTCCTTTATGGCGTATCCTGGGAGTATAACCAGAACTTGCACACTGGAGGTCTTCGGGCTAATTTAGCCACGTATTTATTTTGGTTAACTTCGGGGACAGAAATTTTTGTCAACCATCAACCATCAGGAGATATAAAAAGGCCCCCAACTCTCTTTAAGGGCAGGCAGATGCCACAGTGCTTTGGCATCGTTTCTTCAGAACAGAGAAAGAGGGATTGCAGCAGAGGAGCGGTTTTCCCTTAGGAAGGCACGGATAGCTCATCACAGTCCCCATCATGCCTCTTTGCCTGAGCCTAGCTGCTGAACTGGTTTACATGCTGGCCTTTGTCTGTGGTGGGTGAAGGGTGAATGCAAATACAGGCAGGCCAGGCACTCTGGGGTCCAGCAGCTCTGCATTCCCTCCTCTTCACTTGGGTTGCGTGAGAGGGGCTCTGAGAACAGAAATGTCCTGGGCTCCCAGAATGGATATCTGGTTTTTCTTTCCCAGATGCTACTGCCGGGAACCCATACTTCCTTTTCTGTGTAACTTCTGAGGGGGCTGCCAGATTTTGTATCATATCTTGCTGTAGCAGACACTCACTCAGAATGGTCACTATCCCAGGCTAGGTGACAGGATTTTCAAACTTCTAGTCAGCCCACGACAGTATCGGATGCTTGTCCTGTTAGTGACTGATGCTAACTGCACGCTGTACTGCTGGATCCAGTGTAAGCATTCACCGTATTTTCTGTCATGAGGTACCCGGTGCTGGGTGGAGGGAAGGAGGAAGCCACCACGTACAAAGGGAGAAGGGCAAGGTTCAGAGGACTCCTTCTGCACTAGCCTGGCTCGGTTCTGTGGGCCCCTAAGACGCCTCTTATGTTTCTCCTTTTAATGTTTTCCTAAAGTTAGTTTCTCTCTTGTGCCCAACAGTGCCCAGGATGTATCATCACAAACAACAATGTTCTCTGCCTGAGGGATGTGCATGCTTGCTCTTTCCTGGGTCCCGATCAACACTCACAAATCTGAGTCCTCTCACAAATTCTCTTTGGGCATTCCTGAGCAAAGGTCTGAGGGCAAAGGTCAGGTGTTTAATCATGTCCCCCACCCCTTACGCCCGGTATAAGCTACTCAGACAGTTCTTACACTCTTCCCAGTAAGGATGTAAATGGTACAGATGTAGGTTGAGAAAACTATCTGCTTCCCGAAATTTCCAGGGACTGGCAGCCTGATGGGAACTTAGGATATCTGGAATCGGGGTGCCAAGGACTGCTTTCAAATCATCACTGGATGAGTTTATGGCACTCTGTCAATCATTCAACGAGCATTTACTGAGCACCCGGCATGGAAGATATTATACTGTAAAAGACACATTGTGGTCTTTATGCACTTGGGTTCTGTGGACACAAAAATTAAATCTAGTTTAACGGCTTCGTAAGAATGTGCCTCATTTTCCCTACATGTGAAATGAAGTTAAACACAATTATTCCACGAAGTTGATAATATAGACATTATTCACAATTATTTCACAGGGTTGATAATGCAGACATTATCTCGGCATTTAAGCATCAGCACATTTTATCCCCAAAAACTAGGAAAGCGAATGCGCAGCTTCACAAACAACAGCACAGCCCAACCTGCAGGAGGGGCGTCTACACTACTTCTGATATTAGCCCTGGCATCTCCGGGTTGGGCATCATCCAGTCCATTGGACCTATGCCTGAGCCGGGCTCGAGAGTGTTGGGAACACGAAGGAGACACCAGGGGGCAGCACACGGTAAGAAATCTTGGACGCCGACCGCAGCCCACTGCCAAACTTCCCTGCTGCTCCGGGTCCTCGTACGTACTTCCGTCGCTCTGACGCTCCCAGAAACCCGGGCATCGGGAAGGAGCGCAAATTCCCCCTCCTTTGAGCCTCACGAGGAAAATCTGGAGCTGGGTTCACCAGAGCACACCAGAGTGGCCACTGGAAGTCTCTCGCCGCGCCGCCAGGGGCGCGGCGCTCGGCCACAGTGTGCTGGCGCGTGGGCGGCGGCGTCAGTCTCCCATCGGTGATTCTGGAGAGGGCAGCCTGCCTCCCGAAGGAGTGGTCGCGGCCCCCGGGGGAGGGGGTGGCCGCCAGCTCCAGGGCCTTCGCCTCTCGCCTCAAGGGACATCCCCTCGCCTGTACCCGCAGCTGTCACTTGTGTGTGCTGGCACGAGAGGGGACACGAGCTCCCTGGAGTCCCCCAGAAAGATGCCTGGGTGTCGGATCCGTCTCCAGGCTGCCCTCCAGAGCTGCGGAAGACAGCAGGCGGGATAAGGCTCCCAAACTTTCCTTCGCAGCGGCATTGAGAAGAAGCGTCTCGGAGATTCCAGACTCTAGCATCCATAGGGGACAGGACCAAGGCTGTGTAGTGGAAGTTCCCCGGAGCACTGGAGGTGGCCTAAGGGGAGAACACTAAGGCAAGAGAGGTGTCCGCTTCCCTGCACCCCAGCAGTGACTGTGACCTCCGCAACACCCTCCTCCCCGCACGTGCTCGTGGCGGGGGTCCAGCGGGGCTGGTTGAGCGAGGCGGCGGTGCTCTGGCTGCCCAGGGGCGCATGGAGGCGCCGAAGGGGGCTGTGAGGCTCGCCTGCGGCGCGGGGCCGCGCCTTGGCCTCCCGGGGGACCCGGCTGGCCTCTCCCCGCACTTCCTGCAGCTGGGCTCCGGGGCGTGAGCGGCGCGGCGGGACAGGTGTAGCCCGCAGTGACGGGTCGCGCGTGTAAGAGGGTTGAGCCCGCTCAGCTGCCTGGAGTTGACTCACTGCTCCAGGAACTCAGCAGGCAGGGTCGGCGTGTCACTTTGCTACACAGAGGCCACCGCCTCGGGCTGTCAGCGCGCCGCGGGGGACGGGATCCTGTTTATTGATCGCGGTCGCCCAGACAGGGTGCAAATGCTCGCCACCCTCGGCGGGCCGGGATCTGGCTCTGGCTCCTGGACTTAGGTGGCTCACTGGGCCCGCGCCGGCGCCTCCCCCATGCTGCTCGGAGCATCGTGGATGTTCGCGTCCAAGGCGGCGGCTACTACAGCTCGGGGCGAGGGCGACGCCAGGCAGGGTGAGCAGCAGCAGGAGGCCCAAGCTAGGACTGACGAGGATATGGACGAGTCATCGCTGCTGGACTTGCTGGAATGCTCCGTGTGCCTGGAGCGCCTGGACACCACCGCCAAGGTGTTACCATGCCAGCACACCTTCTGCCGCCGCTGCCTGGAGAGCATCGTGTGCTCGCGCCACGAGCTACGCTGTCCCGAGTGCCGCATCCTAGTGGGCTGCGGTGTGGACGAGCTGCCCGCCAACATACTGCTGGTGCGACTGCTTGATGGCATCCGCCAGAGGCCCCGCACCGGTGCTAGCCCGGGGAGCAGCCCTCCTGCGCGTCCGGGCCCCAGTACGTTCCCAGCGCTGGCTGGGATCCCTGGAGGCGCGACCGGCAGTCCCCCGCGCTCTCCGGTCTTTCTTCCAGCAGAGGCAGGCAGTTCTACCTCCGCTTTGTGCGACGTGGCGACTAACAGGAGCGTCCCAGTGGCTAAGGTAAGAATCTACCCCAATGACATGGCGCCACTGTGTGAGAAAGTGTATGCTTGTGTGCACGTGGATGTACGAGTATTTGTGGTCAGAAATAGAGAGTAGCCATGGCTCTCCCGTGGCTCACTGGTTTGTGTTATTCTTCTTTAGCAACTTCTCTGTGCTCCAGGGACTCTGCAGAGCTTTCAGTTCCCACTTAACCAATTCTTGGCTACATCCCACCACAGCACCTCCTAACCCTTACCCCAAACTTCTTGTGGGCACCCAAGTCGCTTTCCAAACGCATAGAGCACGTCTGCACCCATGACCTGTTCATAAACGTGAATCATCCTCTTACTAGGTGGATATGCTTTCTGAACTGCCACTCGCCATCACTTCCAATTTGATTAGGCCTGTTCTGTCTGTCTGTCTGCCCATCCATCCATCCATCCTGACTGTGTATATCTGTATATCTGTCGCCTGTCTGTCTGTCTGTCTACCTACCTATCATCTATCGATCATCTATTTCATTAACTTTTTGTTGCCCTTCCAAATCCCCACACCTCCGGAGTCTTCCCCCTGGCCCACCAGTTGGCAACTTGCTGCTTAATGGTCCCTTGGTTCAGATCCCTGACAGGGAAGCTGGTGGCCTCTTGTCTGTTTAACTGTCCGCTTAAGGGGGACAGGGCAGAGGGCAGAATGGGTAGACACTGCTGTGAGAATAACTACAGCTGCCTTCTGAAGGAAGAAAGGAGTTTCCTTAGGGTCTCCAGGAGTGTTTTGCCTTAACCTCGGGGATGGCATTCTCTTGCCAAGCCCAGGTCCTGTCATGGGTTCTGAGGCAGGGTTGCAGGTTTTTAATTTTCATTATTAGACTTTGTACAGCTGCATTATATAGACTATACTACTTCTAGATGGCTGAGTTTGAGTTTTCTGTAGACCAGAAGAAAGGGTGGGTGGAGGTAGTCAGGAAATAGTCATTCCTTCTTAGGATCGGGCTTTAATTGTGATTAAATCCAACTATATGCACCATTAGCGGTTCAGCAGCTTTTCTTTCCTATCTGTGTTGTTTGGACTATAACATCATAATTAAAGGTTTTTATTTGCAACATTAGTTAGTTGCTTCCTCCGGCTGCAGTAATTATGTGACTTTTGGAACTGTGACTCCCTTGTGATGCTCCGGCACTCTGATGACTGCCGTTGGTCCAGTTCACCTTGAGCAGTGTTGTTGGCCTGGCGCTTACCAGGGAGTCTCTGATATGGGAAAGACACAGCCTCAAACAGCTTCTGGAACCTAAATGCTGTTCAGTGCATTCTTGAGGACTTTTCCACGAGGTGGAAGCTTGTAGCTTTAGCAGTAGTGCTTGAGTATGAGGAATTCATGCTTGGTTCTTTAAGATTTTGAGACCCTGAAGGCTGATGCTCTGTGTGGCCACGTATGGCACGGTTTAGGATGTCTGCACTTCTGGGAATTTGAGAACCTATTTTCTTTCTTTGTGTTGTGTTAACTAGAATGCTTTCTTTCACAGTCCTCTCTGAAGGACCAAGTTCAGTTTTGGGGGAAAAGTTAGAATTAAATCTAGTGATATTTGCTCATGTTCCGAGAGGAAAGTAGTATTTGTAGCTTTTATTTATTTTTAGTAATCACTGGGCTGCTTCTTTGTCAGCTGGAAGCCCCGTGTGCTACCGCCACACTCCCACTTTGGGGTAACAACATTAGGTCTCTAGGAGACAGTGATGGATATGAAAAGCGAAAGGGACTGGAATTGCATGTGATGTGGTGTAAGCCACCTATAAACTAAAATTGCTCCCAGATAGGCTTTTGGTACTCCGCTGTCCCTAAAACTGTGTTGTTGCTTTCTAGTGAAGCTGAATTCTGGATGTTGTGGCCAGTTTAATAAATGGAAGCTCATTCCATCGTTTTCCAAATGCCAAGTATGACCTAATAGTAACCATGAATGTCACCGTTTCCCTTTCTTGGTTAGAAGTTCCTCAGATCTTTGGGGCTAATGGAGAGATGTGAATTTTTTAAGGTGTGTAAACTATAGGTAGGTGTCCACATAAGTTATCTGCATTCTTAGCTCAGTTACAGCTGAATTCGGGGACTGAATCAAGTATAAACGCACTGACGTTCTGTTTGGTTTCAGGTGCAAGTCACATAATGCATCCTTTTGAGCAGGGTCTTGCTTGTCTTCAGCACCCTTGGGAGTCCCCTACCCTACAAGAGAGCCTCTTAACTCTGTTCTCTCATGAATGATTTGAGATGAGTCTTTAAAAAAAATCAGTTACTGATGCTGCCCATGGAAATTTTGTACTAATTTAAAAGCACCATTGCCTTGTTTGGGATTATCAGTTTCTTTATCTGCTGGTAAATACTGTCTCCGTGTGACTTCTTAAAGTGCTTGAATGATAACTGTAAAACTATTGAAAATAGTAATGTGTGCTAACTTTTTCAACCTAGCTTGTTTATTGTCTTGAAAGTTTTGTGAGGGAACACCTTTAATATCCCAAACTGTCACCAATTGGGTTGTGTTAGGACAGTCCATGAGTTACATGGGGGTGGGGATAGCCCAGTGGCATAGTACATGCCTAGTATGCCAGAGACCCTGGATTCCATCTATTGCAATCCAACAAATGGAAACAGGCAGGCAAACAAGGATTCTGCCAAAGGGTATTGTGGTTTCAAATAGAATCATTTAGAGACTGAGTTCTTAATATGAAGGATTTCATAAAGACTTAAGTATATAATTCCTACTTAAATGAGTGCTTTTGTTTTTAATATTCTTTGCTTTTTCTTGGACGTATCACCTACTAACTAGTTATATTGTGATAATAACCTATCATGGTCTCTCATTATGGACTTGACCCAAGGGAGTGGGAGAAGAGAGCTGTTCTTGGCTTTTTGGGAGGTCATTGGCTGGTGTTTGTGCAGAACTCTGTGAGGTGTGAGAGTAAAGATGTTTTCACAGACTGAACATGTAGAAAGCTTGACAGTACCTTTGATGACATAAAAGTGGCTCAAGAGCTAATTACATAGTTTGTCTATATATGTCTTCCCATTTTCCCCTCTTCTACGCTGGGGCAGGAACATATGTACAGATACTGTGTCCTGAGTTTCACCATGGTCCCATGTTGCATATCTTTCTGGCTTGTTTCTTCAACAATGAGACAGGGCCTCATGAAGCCTAGAATGGCCTAGAATTGCTTATGCTTCTAAGCATCACTTGGAACTCACCCTCTGCCTGTCTTCACCTCCTGGGTGTGCTTAATTCTGAAAGAAACCAGATAGCCCGTATGGTAGCAGACAGCTGGGGACATGAGAGTGTTTTCCAGGGTAGAGGGTGTCTGAGGTGTCTGAAATCAAATTCACCTGATCCCTGGCCACCAAAGTCGAAGGGTTATATCTTTCCTTTTTAATGCTACAAGGGCTGGGCAAAGTAATCCTACCAAGTAGATGGAGAAGTAATCCTTTTGTGGCCCACGGAGATTGATATCTAGGTGTGTTGACTGCATCAGGCTGTGTCCTCCAACCACAATCCCTGGCCTTTCTGCTTGGCAAAGGATCAGCCATGTGGGAATAGACATGCTTGGATTCTGAAAGAACCCATAGGGTATCAGTTAGTTGGTGACGTGAGAACCTTGCCATAGTTCTGTCTGCTCAGGATGCTTGTGAGGGTGAGAACAGCACTTCAGAGACCACAGCATTCGGTGCTGTGTTTTTACTGGTGGTTATTAATGAATAACCCAAACTACTATTCATTGAGCACCTACCGTGTGCCATGGGTTTTTTACAGAATATTTTACCTTTCTGTTTTGTTTTGAGATACAGTTTCACTCTGTGGCCCATGCTAGCCGTGAACTCTTCATCCTTCTGCCTCAGTTTCCTGAGTGCTGGTGTTATGTGTGCACCATGTGTGAGCTATCTGTTCTTGACTGCAGCCCTGTGAGGTAGCCAGCAGCATAGGTCAGAAAAACAAGAATGTAAAGCCCCCTTCTACTGAGTGGCATGCAGTTGGTAGGCTACTTGGAAGAGGAACTTTGTCCCAAGTGCCTAACTGGCTTCAAGGAATCTGGTTTTAAAGGAATCTTTTTTTTTTTTTTTTGGTTTTTATGAGACAGGGTTTCTCTGTATTGTTTTGGAGGCTGTCGGTCCAGCCTGACCTCGAACTCACAGAGATCCGCCTGCCTCTGCCTCCCGAGTGCTGGGATTAAAGGCGTGCGCCACCACCGCCCAGCTTAAAGGAATCTTCTTATCTCAAGACAAACTGGCTAACTGATACACACGGTCCCAAACAAAAGTAGTTCTGACCTCTTTATTTGATTCACCCCAAACTAAACAGATGCTCTCTTCAGGCTTAAGGCTGCTATTTCATAGATGTGGGAACCGTAGAGCATTGTGGTGGCAGGAGTGTCCCCTCGTCTGTTACGGTTTGAGCATAAGTGACAGTAGCCCTGCACAGGTCGGGCTCAGCAGCCCATACTAAGGAGCCACACTTGCCCATCCTGCTTTGCAACTGTTCCTGCTCTACCGCTAGCCCAAAGCCAGTTCTTGAGAAAGGCAGTGGCTTGCAGGTGGCACCTCAATGCAGCCACAACTAGAAACAGAGAAAGGAAGGTTTCTCTCCAGTCTCTACGTATACAGGCACCGTGGCCTGGTTCCGTTGCATCTTGGACTGGTGCTCTACTGTAGCTAAGGCTTGCTTCTTAACATCTTCTCCCAGGGCTGAAGCCCAGGACCTTCCCTAGGGCTTGCGGTAGTCCTTACTGAAGGAGAGAGGTAGGGAAGGGGACTGTGGTGCCTAAGGGTGGCACAAGGGCCAGGAGCTCTTGCACAATAGTTTTAATTCTAGATTCCTTACCTTCTTACCACCTGTCTGTGGGCAACTAGGTTACCCACATTACCAGTGAGGTCTCCCTCCTGGGGTCCTGCTAGAGGGTCCATTGCATATGGAATCGTAAGTTAAGGGTGTATGTGGAGAACTACTTGTGTCTGAGCACAGGTGTGTGTGTGTGTGTGTGTGTGTGAG